CTCTTTCAGAATGAGAAAGGATTACTGCTTTCTCCCTACAGCCATATCCTTTAATATTTATTAGTAAACACGATCCAGTCCATCATGTTTCTTTTCCCTTTAAAAAAAGCTAAAACAGACATGGTACTTTTTCTTTCCAGTTACATCCCTGCTAGTACTCACATCAGCACCTTTCTGGAATCAGACTCTTACTCAACTGCTACGAAGGTGGCAACAGGGAAGTTGGGTACAAAGGCACCTCGGGATTTTTGTAGGGCCTCCTCCATAAATAGCAGAATTTTGTTTACTGCCAGTGACGTCTGAAGGGGAGGTATAGCCCTCTATGGAGGAGCTTAATAAAGGAATAAGAAAACTTTTGTTTCTATGTCACCTGCTTTAAACTAGTAAAGAGTGGTACTGACATAACATCCTTACTATCTGGGGGTTGTTTAACTCTGTGTAAATGGAAGGGCTCAGCCCAATTTGTGTGATAATAAGACTACCACCTTAAGCAGCAGTTTTGCTGGCATTTTCTGCTGGTAATCTGGAGACTAGATATGGTGCAAGAGATGAATAAATGACGTGTTTAAGTCAGGTTTCAAACATGCTGACAGGGATAAAAGCTTACTCTAACAATTGGAAAAATTAACATCTCCAGTCAGTTCCTGCCCAGCCTAGATTTTCATATGCACGCAAGCTTTTGTCTCCTTAAAACCTCTTCCCCAACACAGACTTTCAAAATTTGGCCAAACCGCCCAACTTGAGTTTGACACATCCTCTTCCTCTCCCTCCCACCAACATTCCATGGTGCTACAAGTGTTCAGCCCCAACACTGAAGCCAGTACCTTTCACCAACACTCATGCATTTTAATACTCCCTTTGGACCTAGAGATGGGGAAAAAGGAAGCCAGTGCCGTGGGATTTGCTCAGTTTCCATCCCCATGTTTTATCAACACCAAAAAAACTAGGACATGGATCCTTCTGACTCATGCCACTCATGCCAGTGAGGTGCTGCAGGCAGAGAGATGGCCCAGAACACTTCACTCCTACGCCAGGCCACCCAGACACTCTGCCACCAAATTCTTCTAACCTCTGCCAGTCCAGAAGCAGCTCCTGTGGTTTGAATCTGACCTTGGTCCAGGGTGACCTGGACACCCATGCTCTAAGGAATAACTAGTTGGATAAGTGGCCCTTTTCTACATCTAGAGCAGCAGTTTTCACCAAGGGTGCTGCAGGATCCTTGTAAGGATGCTGTGCAACATTAGCTCTGTTAGGTGTGCAAACAACAGCGTGTGATTTGCTAGAAAAACCTGGAGATTTTAACTAGAAACCTATAGTGTCAAAACCACTCTGACCCACTGGGGTCTTTCAGAAGAACAGAAAAACTGCTTTATTATTTTGCCACAGAGGCAAGAAACGAGCAAAGGTGAACAGCTGACGTTTTTCTAGGGATGCCTTGAGCCAGCTCTTCACCTTCACTTGTTTCTCAAGGCACCCCTGGCTAGACACAAGGCTCCCCTTGGGAAGGGCCAGCTCCTCATTTTTGCTTTTCTGAGGCCAAAAGAAAAAACAGGAGCAGCAGCCGTGCTTCAAGGAACGCAAGAAGGCCAAATGCCAGGCTTTATTTTGCAGATCACTCTGCAACACCCAGTGCTACATGCTGCCCTCTCGGAAGGGCCTCAAGGCACCTGGGGGGGCAAAGGGGAGGCCGTGCCAACCCCCAGGGTGAAAAGTGCTGCTCTAGAGCCTCGCACCCCACAGGTGCTCCCTGCTCCTTCCCCTCACTGGGGCAGGACTCCTCCCACAACCCCCCTTGGAGACGTGTGTGTCAGGACCCCCGGGCTCCTCCGCCCCCGAATGGCTCCCAAGAGCTGTGACTGCTCTAGAGCCCCACAGGCAGGGTCCCACGCTGCTGCCCTTCCCCC